AATTACGTCACACCAGGAAGCCATTGAAATCCACAAGCACCAGCAGAACTTCAACAAAAAAGAGGAAAGTGTGAAGCTCAACAAAACTTGGCTCCCAGCTCTCAAGAATATAGGTGCAGGGATCACTACACACAAAAGACCAGCTAATGACACCCATCAACCACAGTGACAGATAATCTCTTCTCCTTAGCACAACAATGCACCCACAACAAGACACACTAATCACCCATCTACAGAAAAAGACAAAAGCACATCTCACAGCCATCAGTACTGCATTGCCAAGCCAACTACAGCAGAGCACAGAGTGCTGTCCTATGAAGATGCCGGCCACAGAGACTGGCGAAACGTCAGGAAGAACAACCTTCAGAACACAGCCAAAGAGCCCGAAAAACCCACGACAACCATTAGATCCCCGCCGTGAAAGCTTTCACAAATAAATTCTAAAAGTGACTTATAAAAATGTATGAAATTCATAAAGTACATTAGAATTTAGTCAAGATTACTAACAGTGTTATTGTTGTTGTTAAGTCGTGTCCGACCCTTCGTGACCAGTCAAGATTACTAACAGTGTTGTTGTTGTCAAGTCGTGTCCGACTCTTCGTGACCCCATGGACCAGATCACGCCAGGCCCTCCTGTCTTCCACTGCCTCCCAGAGATTAGTCATTCATTCTGGTAGCTTCGATGATGCTGTCCAGCCATCTCGTCCTCTGTCATCCCCTTCTCCTCTTGCCTTCACACTTTCCAAACATCAGGGTCTTTTCCAGGGAGTCTTCTGTTCTCATGAAGAGATTAGTCAGATTCATTCTGGTAGCTTCGATGACGCTGTCCAGCCATCTCGTCCTCTGTCATCCCCTTCTCCTCTTGCCTTCACACTTTCCAAACATCAGGGTCTTTTCCAGGGAGTCTTCTGTTCTCATGAGATGGCCAAAGTATTGGAGCCTCAGCTTCAGGATCTGTCCTTCCAGTGAGCAGTGACACTACTCATTGGAAGGACAGATCCTGAAGCTGTACACTACTAACAGTGTACAGCTTAACTCTAAAAAATCCAGTTGTTGGCTCCTGCTAAAGTAGATCCATTGTATCATTTGGGTTTATACTTAAGAAGTCCCATCAGCAAGTTTTCAGTGCAATGCTTCCAGAAGTGAAGGCTTGGCTGACTGCATGCTGTTGTCCAAGGGGACTTGCAGTGCTTTCTCATTCTTCAGGGTTGCTCCTTCTGTGTCAAGGAAATGTTTTCTGTACACATCTCAAGCTCTAAATATTAAACCAAATGGGGGTAGGCTAAATCTATGGTGAGCAAAAACAACACACCTTGCCAAATGGATGAGTGCTGAAGAGCGTTTCCCACCAGGACAGTACTAGCTGGACCATCTGGAGGTTGCTTAATGGGCTTTGGTGGGCAGTAGGAAGATCAAAGAATAATCAAGTAAAATAGGGCTACTTGGTTACGGGACAAATTTTCTGTGACTGGTGAAATTTACTCAATGCAGCACTTAGGGGAATGCAGTTTTCTGACCCACACGTGTACAAAAGAAGTTCTACGAAATGGACATGATAACACTATTGAAGTAGCTGGCTTCTGGTCAAAAACAGCCGTGATATCTTAACATTTTAATTTGGTTTTAATTTAACCTATATTTCATGTACATCAATAATTTTAAATTGCTACAATACAAATAAAGAAAAAACAAGTCCCATTCATTCAAGTGATTCTGCTATGGTTAGGAATAACAATTGGATTTAATTCTATGTGATTATCAACTAGTAAAGTAAATACACATACTGACCTGAAGAACATTTTTATTTTGTTGATGTCATAGGACATACTTTTAATTGTCATTATTTAGTAATAAAGCATTACTTCTTTTTACCAATCTATATTTTAATATTTGAACAAGTGTTATGTTTACTCAGGTGATTGCTGAACATCCAGATGCCTCAGGTGATGAAATTGAAGAGCTGTTGGAATCACAGTGGAACATGCTTAGTGAAAAACAGAAAGCACGTTATAACACAAAATTTGCCATAGTGACCTCTCCCAAATCTGAAGAAGATACTGGTAAACGTAAAACTGTGCTAGTATATTCTAAGTTTTAACACATGTAGTAATGTTAAAAATAAGCACATTTGAGGCTTGTAGAGAGAGCGGTTTTGGCTGTTCTCCACTTCTAATTTTGATGTGTTGTGGTGATAGCAGTGAATGCAGTCTTTACAATAAAAGTTAATAATGTCTGCATTTCTTGGTCATTGTTCTGCAGAATTTCACTGTAAACCTAATGTTTAGATATTGCTGGTTTCTCATTCCTTTCTTGTCTAAAAGCAGCTGCCGTTTATATTGCTGTCAAAGGGAGGATGGTAGAAATGAGAATTAAATTTAACATTTCAGTTAAATTTTCTTGTTAAACATAATCATAAGTCTTGAAAGGACAAAGTATTTCATAAATCTGCTTTTTAAAACGTGAGATGGTTGATAACACATCAATAACACCTCTTTTCAAATGGTAAATTACTTGCTGGGTTAATCTTCTGGAATAATGTCAGAGCCTGCAAGGATTTTACTTTGTTGATTTGACTGAAATCAAGTAGTAAGTCACGGCTAGAGTAGGCCCATGACATCAGTGGAATTTATGGAGGAGTTGACCCACCAAATCCCCACTGATTCACTGGGCTGCTGGATTTCAGCCACATCTTACTCAGGATATTTGTTGAGTCCGTAACGTAGCTCACTAAGGTAGAAAATGTACTATCAAAAATGTATTTGAAATAGTTGATATACAGAAAAGAGAAATATTGGGAGCAGCATTTCTTGTTTTTCTCAGTGGTGATAGTGGTACAGATGCCAACAGCAACATATGAATTGAGTATGTTGATTTTATTAGCTTGTTGCAGAAATTTTAAGCCATCAGGTTGCTGCTTTGGGCAATTAGAGGAATGAGGGTGTGTTTGCCAGGTTTGTCAGTTTTGGAAAAATGTATAAAAAGTGCAGTCAGTTTTGTTATCTGTGTGTGAAATAACATCATGTGGGAATGTTAACAGCGTTGTCTCAGTGTATAAAATATTTGGATGTCAGTTTTAAAAACAAGCAAAAAAAAAGCAACAACACTACACAACATTCTGTATCTCTCAAGGTTCATCACAGAAGAGTATGGGAGAGGCCAAGCGTAAAGTGTTTCAAGAATCACCTAAAAGAAGATCAACATTCAGAAGTAAATGAAATATGTGCTGTGTATTATTGATTTCTTATAAATATTCTTTAAATGCGCTTTTCTGTAATTGCTCACAAAACAATATTTTTTCCTCTCAGATTTTTTTCCTTTGGCTTCAGAATTTTTATGGATTCTGAATTAAATACTTGAGTGCTGTAGTGCTGAATTTTGTTCAACTTCATGATAGCTTCACTTCGTCATAATAATTAAAATGAGTATTGCTTATATCATATGTAGACAGTCTATACAAGATCTCTTTCATATTTCAGTACATTTTAAGGAGTTAGCAAAGGACCATCATTTTATGGAAGTGTATATTCTGTTGATTTTTGTTCTGAAAATATTGACATGTATAATAAATACAAGTAAGCATTTTTAGAACAGAACTTGCCATCTCTGAAAAAAATATTGTCTGCACTATTTTAAATATTTAAGATTTTATCAGAGCACCACTATACATCACTAATGGAAACAAACATCTATTGTATCAGAATTTGTTATAGAATCGTAAGATAGATTCTGAAACTTGATGTTGTAATTACCAAAAGCATCATCTTATCCTTGAAGCCCTTGAATGATGCTCTTTGGCATCTTATTAGGTATGCAGCTTCGCCTCAGAGATTAAATAGGGGACGCACAAACACCTAGGAGGAATTTTACTACTAGTTTTCCTTTGTAAATCCAAATTGTTAAGAGATTGGATTTTTTTTGAAGTAGAAGTTCTACATCAGCTGTGTATAAATTAGCTGCTGATCCTATGTGTTCAGCATGACATTTGATTACTTTAAATTGGCCCTCATATATAAATAAATGTAAGAGATGTTTAGCAATCTTCACAGTCTTCATTTTTCTGACCTTTGACACACAACATTTAAAATGGAGTTTTCTTTGTTTTATACAAAATAAATTTGTACTTTACCTGGACTGCTATATATCATGCAAAACATCAGAATAATGATCTGTCGCAAGAATGAATTCAGAGATGTGGGTAACGTAATCTCCATGATGTACAGCTTAAGCTTTATTCTTTTCAAAAACCACTTTTAAGTGAAACTAAATTCATTGCTAATTGAACTTAGTGTTAACTTGCAGGATAATGATGTGTTTTGATATGTAAGCTTACTCATGAAATAATTGTACTTGTAAAACTAGTTTTAATAATGGAAGATACGAGCCCAGGGATAAAATGATGTAACTTGATCGGCTCAAGGTAATTTCAAAATAAGCTTTAGATCTTTTTCATGTAAGTTTCCCCCCATCCCCTGCTCCAAGGTAACTTACATGGAAATAAAAGGAAACCAATAAAGAGGACAAAGAAACCTACAGAAGATTTTGAAGTTCAGGAAGCACCTAGGAAAAAGCTCAGGATGGATAAAAAGAATTATCAGAAGGTAACTATGCTGTTGGGTTCTTTGGATACATTATATCAAGACTAGACTTGGTTATCTGGTTTCAGTTTATCAGAACTTCAGTAACACTGTTCACCACATGAAATTATAAATTACAGTACAAGCATACTTGTTTAAACACTGAGATTTCAGATGAAGTAATTTCTGAATTCATGCCATATATCTCTACGGGTCTGTATTTCCCTCAACAACACTAAAGCAGAAGATGTACTGTCAGAAAATGGAGCAAGGAAGAAGTATAATAGACTGCATTTATGGAACTTCATGTCTTTCCCCTTGTAAAGAATGTGTCAATTTAGTAATGGACACTTGTCATACTAAGAAGGGGTAAAAATGTGTAACTGAAAATGGCAATATTGATTTCTGTGATGGGAACAAAACTTCAGGTGGGGCATACACTAATGAAAATGTACTATACTAATATATTGATGTTACTTGGAAAAGCTGGAGGATTTTCCCTTTTATATGGTTTTGACTATTGTAATAGATGCACAGTAAAGTATTTCAGCTATAGTACAAGGAACCTGGTTTTGAATATTGACTCAGAAGTTACATATAAAATGTATGTGTTTAGCATATTGGTCCTTAAATCTCGGTTTATATGCAGATATTGGTTTACTTACTCTTAATCTGATCCTCTTTGTTTTGTGTTGAGGAGGAGGAAACAGATCTTAAGTTCATGTCTTATTTTATTTTCAGAAATGGGTCTCCTAATCTTTTATTTCTTGTTTAATGTCACAGGCGTGTACTACAAATAATTTTTAAAAAGCAATAACTTACAACCTTTTAAAAAACATGTATATTGCTTTCCCCTTTCCAGTGCATGACCTATAGGCCATAAAATACATTTTAAAATAACTTTAAAGCAACCTTTGAATCAGAAGTACTGATGGCCAGCTGTGTTCCCTTTCCATGGCCTTTAGTGTTCTGTCTCATTCAATATTTGTTAGCATTTTTTCATTCAGTATCAGAAAATGCTGTACCTTCAGGTTATTGAATGTTGTCAAACTGGTGCAGTTGTGTAGTCTGATCTGTAACTGAGCTCTTGTGATGCTTGGGCTGGTGATATCACTGCTTGGAAATTGTTTTACAGAATCTTCTGATCTCTATTGGCTTTTGGGTACTGTACCAACAACTGTGTTTCTCACAGTTTTGGTTAGTCTTTCTGTTAGATGTTGCATATTTTCTATGGTGTTTCTTATTCAAGTCACGCAGAATGTACATAATTCTTAGTTTGCGTGCTACTTAAATCAAGCAGAAGTGCAAATGGGGATTTATGTTTAAATGTGTAATCAGAATTTCAGCTCCAGTCACCTGTGTGTCTCTTAAAAAGCTTTTTAAATTCACAAGTCAGAATATTTAAGGCTTGGCCCAGGATATTTAAGGCTTGAATGCCAGAGTGAGATTCCTCTTTTTGTTTAGATTTGGAAAGTCTGTCCCAAAGTATCCCATCCAACAATACTCTAAACCAGTGGGAGTGCAGGAAAGTGGTTGTTGGTTATCATTCTCTCTTTCACATCAGCATGTCCTTTTTCAACAGTTCCAGCTGCCTTTTTTTTTTTACATAAGGCATTGCTCAGTTTCTTTCAGCAGTAGATTATCTTCCTTTTCATCCTTTTCTTGCTGTAGGAAATGCACAGGCAATAAAAGCTTCCAGTTCTTCAAGCCCCTTGCTTTGCTATTGGTGTGTAGTGTTAATAATTGGGTATTTCTTCTCCTTGTCAACAGTCTGAGCAAGCAATGGAGAACGCCTAAATTGTCTTTTACCCAGTCCCTATCTGATTTGTCCTTTGAAGCAATTTGAAGGGGTTATGGATATTACCTGTGTTACAAGAAATCTGCCCTCTGTAATCTAAAAATCTTGTTAAATGTTTTGGGCTTTTAAAAATGGGTTCAATTGGCTCTGTTTATTCAGGACTTGGAAGGCTCATCTCCTACCACCTTCCCAATATGTAGAAGAGGCTAGAAATAACTGAAAATATTGTATTGAAAAAAATGGAAATACTGGGTTACACTTGCCTTTTCTTCTTGGGAAAGAGAAGCTCTAAAATGCCAATTTCCATACACCTTTCCTATCCAGTTGCTGGGGAACATTGATATTTTCAGAATTAATACTGGAGGAGAACCCCAGTCCTGACTATCATCAAAAGTTGTTATTTTGATATTCCTGGGTTTCTTCCTGTGATTCCATGAGGATGTAAAGTAGCCAGTCCTTTCTGGATTTCTCTGGAACAGGTGCTGTGAGGAAGTCTTTCAGGATTATGAACAAGGCAGTGACTGTTGCTTTCTGCTTGAGAGTTATATGTGGTAAGGCTTACTCATAAGGCATATATGGAACTTTACAGCAGCAAGTATCTTAGCCAGTATTGCATGCTTTTAGTTGTTTCCCACCCTTCAGCCATATAAGTTGAATAGTAGAATTCAGACTCTTCTCCTTTCAGTCCTGTTCATAAAACTGGAAGAAGACACTTTGAGAAAAACTATGGAACTTGTCTTCTGATGCAATAGTTTGCTCTCTTACCAATCTGTATTTTGTTTATGAAATCAAGGCATATGGCTATAAAATCAATTTTAAAAGATTTTGTTTGATCTTCATGTAACTTTAAATGAACTTAGGGAATATATTGAAGTTTCAAATACCTGATGAAAGTGTGCATGTGTGTGCGCGTGTACATGCTGGGTGTGGGTACAGAAATTTAGTACCAAATATTCCTCATTGTGGAAATCTTAAGAGTCAAATCTGTTGTTTCTTTATGGATGTACTGTAGTATGGTTGTGAGTTTGCTTTTATTTTTCACTCAAAACCATTGTTTGTTTCTGATTGGTTGTTTGTGTGGTACAAAATCATACTGTACTAAAATAATGTTTTAGAACAAGTGGATTATACTTACTATGAAATACCAATTTGATGAAGGGTCTATATTGTTTTAGTGCAGATTCTTTCTGGGAAATACATAGGTAGGAACCATAAAGTTTATATCTTACAAGATTTCCATTCCAGTTGACTGTTTTTGTTTTTTTTTGAACTAGCATGTGAAATATGACAGTATTTTGAAGTATCATATAATTAACGTATTTTATGTTACTTGTAACTTTTGCATTTTAAAGTCATCCTTGTAAAACTTTGCAAAAATATTTTTACATAGATGGTGTTAAAATGAGTGATTATTGTAATGGATAGCATCCTAGTTTCAATGGGAAAATTCATGTGTATGAAATCGGCCTTCATCTGTATGACTGTACCCCTTAATTTCGTCTCTCATATTTGTTTGAAACTTATGTTTAAAAATTTTATACAAACAAACACTCCTCTCTGGTAATAAAAGACCTGAAATAATTTCCACATTGATCCAGATTAGGAGGGTTTTTTTATTTTTTTTCATTTTCCTTTTTTTTTATTTTGTAACAGAGGGACACAAGCAATGACAAAACAGCAAAAACAAACTCTACCAAAGTCACAGAAACCTCTTCACAAAAGAACCAGTCAGGTAATGTGGTTAGAATAAGTTTTGATGTATGATTTTGAATTAAACCTTTATAAATTCCATTTGTTTAAAAAAGGTAGATATATTTTTATTAAAATCTGTAGTAATGTTTCAATACCAGTGTGAGTTGCATTTTTCATCGCCATTTCGATCATTATCTCCTTGTATTTCTGATTTAAAAGTAGCAGGAGATGAAATTATTTAATAGCAAATGCTCAGAAAAAACAGAATCATAAAAATCACAGAATTTTAATTGTATTGTATTGTAGAAATCTATCAGTTCAGTGAGAAATTCTAGAAAACTAGAATTAGGCAGTAAAAACACACAGTTCAACATCTGTGGTTTCTTAAATAATAACAGATTGTAGTATGATCTAGTAGTGTGTGTTTGGCTGAGTAGAATCCAGCTGATTTTGCTGCCGTATCATAGCCTGAAGTATCTTTTGGCTACAGTAGGTGTCATCATATACTCTGGTGGTGTAGACAGGAGTGTAGAAAGCAATATTTTATCCAAAGGAGGGAAATCGCAGTACACTTTTACAGTACCACAAGACTCTTTGGTTTGGATCCAGCTGCTACAGTTACATAAATAGAAGGCATTTTGTTTATGCACGGTGGTATCTCAGATTGCCTTGTTCTGATTCTAGTTCTTAGAATCCAAGCCATTGTCAGTTACTCAGTATTTTTTGTTTTCGTTCACTCAGTAAAATAGGGTGCAACAAAGAAATGAGTTAGAAAATAGTTTCAAAATTATTTTTAATAGACATCTTTGGAAAAGGATGTGGGGAATGATCCTATGACATTTTTGGCCTGCATACATTTGCCTGACGTGATCCTGGATGTGTCTACTCAGAAGTAATAAGTTGATCGTCCTGCCAGTTATATGTAGAACTGCAGCCTTAGTGAGGAAGATGGGAGCTTGAGTCCCTAAGAACTATTTCTCCCAATTATTGTGAAATACTGTGGGGTAAGGTTGATCACAAAACAAGTTTGCACAATTTTCTGGTTATCTATTGCATGCCCCGTGAGACAGACCATAATCAAAGTTTCTTACACTGGTTATGAAATTGCAGGTTTGCATTGTCCAAACCATGTCAGATTTTGGACAGTGTGTCTTGAAGAAATTAGGTAATTTGTCTTCTGATTATCTTTGGGAAATTGAAAAAATACATACTGAAAAATGAGCAAGATCTTTTATATTTTACCTCAAGCTCCCAAATGTGGAGTAAAACTATAGTACATAAATAAATAATTGTTTATGTAAAAGTTAGATAAATTATTCCTATACATGTGAGGGAATATTTTCTACTAACTTCAAGGAAGTACATTAGAATTCCAAGTTCACTTTATAAACAGATTATTTTACCACAATGACAGGTCTATCAGATGCATGTAAACCACTGAAGAAGCGAAATCGGGCTTCAGCAGCAGAATCTTCACATCTTGCTTATAGCAAAAGTTCATCTCCTTCAGCTTCCTTAACTGAGAATGAGGTAAAAATATGAATGAAAATGGGATTCAGATAAGCCACTGCAACACAAATGTAATTTTTTCTTTTTATAAAAGATAATTCCTCAAAAAATAGAAGGCATAGCAAGGTATATGTGTCCGGTCCCTTCTTCCCCGTTTACATTTCTGCTTGTGGCATATCACCTGTGGAGGCTGAGAGTAGGGGACGGAGAGAAGGAAAGGATGTTAAATAAATGGTCATCCATACAGTTAAAGAGTTAGACCATCTATTCTTTTAATTCTCTGAATTTTGGGATTGGGGATCATAAGTATTTCTTGAAATTCAGAAATGATGACAAAACATCTCATTGAAGCTACACGTTAGGTAGTCAAGCTCAGAAAACATCTTAACATCAGATAGTTGAGGGAGAAAGCATATTTTAGGTTGTGAATTTTTTTTCCCACTGGGGCACCCCGTTCAAATTCCAAATGGCTTAGGGCATAGAGTTCAATTTAGCATATGTCAACACAGTACCAGTGTGACAGCTTTCTTTCATGCAAAGTAGAGGTGAACTGAAGTAAGAACTGGGGGGGGGTGGGAATGAACCAGGCTAGTTTGTGGTTCAGTTTGTGCATTCCATTTTGACGAAACAAAAGGAAGAGTCAAAATTTTTTTCCCAATCTGGCACTTTGTTTTGGAGAAACGTATGTCCCTCTGTTCCTGCTGTCCCATCACCCCCCCACCTGGTTCTGCCACTTCCTCCTCTTCCTTCTCCGCAGCGGCCATCTTCAGAGACTGGCTTGGCTTCTCTGGGATCTGGGCCTGCTGTCTGTGCATGTTGCACCCCTACCAGCTGATAGGCTGGCATGTGTGCAGAGACAGCCGGTCTGGTTTGTTTGATTTTTCTGATTGTGGCCAACCATGAACTGCCATTTTTCAGATTCGTGACCATCTCTAATGCAAAGCATAGAGTTCTGTGCATATTTTCTCCAGAGTAAGACCCAGTGCAAACAGGTTCCTGCACCAGAAACCAATTTTACATTTTCCTGAGGTGGGAGAACTTTCTAATCTGCAAGCTCCTGTTTTGTATAAAACTGTGATGTAAAGGTTATGCCAAAATGCTTAAGAAGAAATGCTGGTATCATATGTATAAAGTCTTCTAAAATAATCTGCACTCACCATACATATTTATGATACTTTTTTTTTATTCTGTTTTGTGTAGGATCTTTTAATGGGTTTAAGTAGAATAATGTATCGAAGAGGATTTATCATAGTCCAGGTCAATGAAAGCTGGTGCCAAATAAATGGTTAATTCTTCAAAGTATCATATGTTGCATTTATATAGAGTTCAAGCAACTAGTTAAAATGTTTTGTCTTTTTTGTTACAAAGTTTAACACTAGTTATAGTCAATAGAATGACACGCCTCCAACATATATCTATGAATTTTTTTGTTTTTGTTTTAACTTCCCTTGAGCTGGGGAATCAAGGAGGTTCCTTTCATTAGAACAGCTTTGTTCAGATGGATTGTGTATTATGTAATATCTTATAACCTGCCCATATGTGTTGAGATTAACTCTTAATGGTGGGACTGTTTGGGTCCCCAAGATATTTAATGCAGCCTCCATTGAAACCCTTATGCAGGGCATCCCTTAAGTATCTTTTCTCAAAAGTACTTATCCTGACTGCCCTTCCATTGACATGCAGGGTTCCACAGCAAGGGGAACTCTTCTTAACTAGATCTGAGCTTCATGTGGTGGTCGAGAAGGAGTTTGTACAATTCTGAGAGTAGGTCCCTCATTCACGATTTTGTCCAAATCTTTCTAGGCATTTTGAGGAGGACAGCCATAATGACAGAAGTTCACAGTACCATCAAAATTTATCTGAGGACAAGGAATTTTAGAATATCTGGTTGGTTGGTTGGTCCATTCTGGCTGGATAGTAGTGGAGAAATGATAATGAAAACAACTTCAGCTTTATTGATTGAAGTCTGAGATTTACTTAGTTGTCTAAATCGATAGACTAAAGTAGCTATTACTTTAATTTATGGAACTCTGGGAAGTTTCCAGCCCAGTACTAAAACTCATCCTACTAGAGTGCATTCACATGGCAGTATTTGAAAGTTGACTCCCTGTTGTGGATATCTACAGGGCAGCCTTTGGGGAGTTGCCTACATCTTTTGTGAGACATCATTGGCTGGATTATTTTGCACCTACTCAAGTGGCCTTTGGACAAAATGTCTTTCAGCAGACAGTGCAGTAATAACATATGGCTAGGAATCTGGTATGAGCCTTGTGGTGCAGTGATTAAACTGCAGTATGCAGTCAATACTCTGCTCAGGACTTGAGTTTGATTCTGATGGTTCAGGTAGCCAGACTTAGCCTTCCATCCTTCTGAGGTCAGTAAATTGACTACCCAGCTTGCTGGGGGTGAGGGCAATGTGTAGCCTGTATAAATAAACTGTAAACCACCCAGAAGATGCTTTAAGCTCTGTGGAGCAGTATATAAGCAGCACACTTTATTATTGAGAGTCAGGAATTCTAAATGCATGGAGATTAACTATAGATTTGGTATGTCCTATGGGGAATATATCCTTGTCCAGAAGGATAGTTATTGTGCAGTGTTCATTTTTTATAATGGAAGGTCATCCTTACTTTCCAGGTTGAGTAGCAGGAATGTGGTTGGTTGGTTAGATGGTTTAGACCTGGTTGGGCCCAGCAAGAGTTTTCTTTTTCCAGAGGTTACTACCTTTGTTGTAGTTTTTCACAGTGTTCTGTTGATGAGGGTTTTTCTCAGTCTTTTTTCTTGTCCCACAGTTCCTTGTTTTCCTGTGGCTTGGAGATGAGACTGTCTTCTTTGAGATTTTCCCTCCCACTAGAGGGCACATAGAGTCCATAAGATTGATCTAAATACTGTATTCCTATTGCCTATCTGAGTGAATGGGAGGGACGGCCCGTGCTAAATCTACCTCTACTGTAGATAATTGATATTTTACAGCAAATACCAGCATAGTATGTGGAAGGGGATGTAATATTTCACAGACAGTAAGGAACATTGCAGTAGTAAGCTCTGTGGAGCAGTATATAAGCAGCACACTTTATTATTGAGAGTCAGGAATTCTAAATGCATGGAGATTAACTATAGATTTGGTATGTCCTATGGGGAATATATCCTTGTCCAGAAGGATAGTTATTGTGCAGTGTTCATTTTTTATAATGGAAGGTCATCCTTACTTTCCAGGTTGAGTAGCAGGAATGTGGTTGGTTGGTTAGATGGTTTAGACCTGGTTGGGCCCAGCAAGAGTTTTCTTTTTCCAGAGGTTACTACCTTTGTTGTAGTTTTTCACAGTGTTCTGTTGATGAGGGTTTTTCTCAGTCTTTTTTCTTGTCCCACAGTTCCTTGTTTTCCTGTGGCTTGGAGATGAGACTGTCTTCTTTGAGATTTTCCCTCCCACTAGAGGGCACATAGAGTCCATAAGATTGATCTAAATACTGTATTCCTATTGCCTATCTGAGTGAATGGGAGGGACGGCCCGTGCTAAATCTACCTCTACTGTAGATAATTGATATTTTACAGCAAATACCAGCATAGTATGTGGAAGGGGATGTAATATTTCACAGACAGTAAGGAACATTGCAGTAGTCCATCCAAAATGAAGCATTTCTGTTCTTCTAGAGTCATACAGCTAGTATACCTGAGTACTGAACTGAGAAGCAACTGACTGAACCATGGAATTCTACAGAATCCAATAGTCTGTGGATTCCACGGAATCTCAGGAGGAGACATCAAGGTTGGGAACTGTTGATGGATGCGTTTTGTATCTCCATTCAACAATTCACTGATGAGATTCAGGACAGCTTTTTGGTGCAGGGGAACGAGAGAAACAGGGATTAAGAGTAAATTGGCAACTTGATTTTCTTGGTATTTTTGCTACACCACTCTTCCAGAATTATCAGGAAGCTCTGTAAATATTAACTGTGATGGTCCTTTTTGGTGCTTGTTTCTGAAGAAGTTGTTATTAGAGTCTTCCCTTGTTAAGACTAAGCCCCGTTCTGCAAATGTCTTGCATTTGTCTCCAGTTATGTATTACAATTCAAATGTGTTCTGTTTCGCCACTAGGAGATAAAGAAGAGCTGCCTCCTAAACTATGAAAGGATTACTCTGAAGAATTTTTTGACATTCTTCTAGTTTCTTGTTCTTTTATCAGTAATGTATGCAGTTGCCCAAAAAGTATCTTTTCTAGTAGGGATTTCAAAAGTTACTGTATATGACTTCTACAAGGTAGCTTATTACATTTTGCAGGAAAGTTCCAGGCATGCCAGCTACTAGATGCCTTCACATCTTTCTACTGCTGCGAAAAGATGGCATCAGTATTGGCCATTAATAAAGCATGTCACATCTCAGGATATAGAACATACATATTATAGCATTTGAGACTGAGACTGTTGGGAAGGATTCCAAATGGGAGACATAACTTTAAACATAAAATTATAACAAGGAGAACCAAAAAATGGTTGGCTGAAATCCTTCCACACGCTTCATGCGTGAAGTGGTGATGATATAAACATCAGCGGCAAATTGCCACAGATTAAACTCTTTCTTTGCTGATTTTGGGTGCATACAACTTTGTTGTAATGCATATCAGTAGCAAGCACCCTGAAATCGCCCTTAATCATTGGCGATTTCCCTTTGATGTTGACATCACTCATTATGCACACAGAGATGTGCACTAGGATTTCAGACAATATATAGGTCTTGTCACATATGTTAGAAAGGTCTTTTAATTAGTAGAAGGTAAAGATTAATTGTTGTAAAGCAGTCATAATTTTGGGAACCTACCCTAAATGTTCATCTGTGAGGTACATTTCTTACATGTTAAAAGGTATGAACAGTGGGCTACGGGTTTCACATTTGAAAATTTATCACTGTACCCAACGGAAAGATCTGATACGAAGGTGCCTGGAACTTAGTGAATGTTAGTGTATTACGCTTTGTCTTCTTGTATCTTGGACTAGAAAGTTACCCTTTCTAGAAACTGTGTCTTG